TAACCCCTATATAAACCCAAAAGGTTAACCTTTAGTTCCCCATGATACCCGACAAGTCAGTTGTCCACTTGAAGAATCCAAAGAGTTTAGAGTTTTAAGGCTTCTGGTTTAGGGTTTCGGGCCTGAAGAATCCAAAGGTTTTAATGTAGGGCCTAAATAATTGCCGTTACTATTTTGGGGGTGCCTTATTATAACTATAGTAGAATGGGGCCCAAAAACCCTATTGTAATTCTTAAGCACATAGATTAGAGTTTTAGGGCTTGGGGTTTAGGGTTTTAGAGTCCGGGTTTAGGGAGTTTAGGGCTTAAAGTTTAGGGTTTAGGGTTCCTACACAGTAATTCGGAGGGGTTTAGGCTTCCTATGCTGTAATTCGGGGGTTTAGGGTTTAGGGCTTATAGGGGGATTAGTTGACATACTGCCACAAGGAGGTGCTGAAGCTTAAATGGCTTTTTAGGGTTCAGGCTTAAACCGCATGCTTTTTTGTTGCGTCGATTCTCGACTGTGGCGGGCAAGCCCTAAAGCTCATATTTCTGGGCACCAGAGCCTCAACAAATCCTCGGATCCGAAACCCTCAAACTGTTCACCCTTAGGGTTTAGGGTTTAGGGTTTATAATTCCATAAACTCCTGAATACTGTAGGGTTTAGGGTCCACGGTTTGTTAGGCGTCGGCTGTCAGCGCGACGATTTGTTCGTGGATGGCTTTGCACGGCCCTGCAGGTTGCTTCGCAAATGTCCCTGCAGATGTTCTGGATTAAGATCCCTACACCCTAAACCCTGTCAAAAGAGCGCGTCAAAACTTGTGGGGAGAGTCGGCCAACCAATCTGCACGCCAAAATAATTTTTTCAAAAAACAAGCTAAAGACAGTGCCAAAGGATGTAGTTCAGGGTTTAGGCATTCTGGTTGAGGGTGTAGCAGTTTCCAGAGAAGTCTTTGTGTCCAGCGTGGTTCGGAGTGTGCATGCAACATTATCAGGGATATACATGGCATCAGAGATCAGATATCTGGTAAAGAAAACCTTGATCCAGGATCACTATAACCTGAATCCTAGTCACTAGTCTTGCAGAATGAGGAACATATTCCGACTAGCCGGAGACATGCCGCAAGCTCAGTGATGTTCGCCGCGATCTTCAGGGTCGTCCTTGTTCGGAGGGGTGGGGTACTGCAATGGTGTCCTTTGGGTTCGTACTTTGAAGCGGTTACCTTTACGGGTAATGCTTGTCAGGTTTTCTGCAGAGGCTTCAGGGGTTAATTGAGGCTTCGGATCAAGTGCACTTAAACAAATTTAGAAGTTCCGCCACTTTCGTGAACCCGCTCCTCAGCATTGAGTTGACATGCAAGCATCCAAGTCGATGCATTTTCATGTCATCGCGCAAGCCACCGCGCCGGCACACGAAACTCCCCCGCCCCCAGATCCCCAGAGGGCACACGTTTCGTTAAGTCCGAAACCCCAAACCCAAGACCCTAAGCCCTAAACCCTCAACTTTACGTCTCAGTCGTATCAGCCCTCCAAGTTCGAAAATCCTTTGCTCCCTCAGAGGCCCCGAAGCCAAATCCGCAACCCAAAGCCGGTTAACGAGTAAGGTCCCCTGCATTACGGCCTCGAACATAGGGGCTTTCAATAATAGCTAGAAGAGGGCTTTGGGGCCCATTATACTATAGTTATAATAAGGAACCCCCATAAAGTTGTAATTATTTAGGCCCTGCATAATGGTGTTGCAGGGAGTTGTGCGGGTGTTCTGAGTGTGCTGCAGGCTCCACCTCACCAGCATCATGCTGCTGCTGTGGCCCCTTGGCACGCTTTTGTGATGGGCATTGAGTCGCTATCTAGCGTGATAACCACAATATTCCCTAAAGCCCTATTCTAGTTTCAAGCACCCTAAAGCCTAAACCCTTAAACCCTAAGCCTAAGTTGCTCCTCTTGTCTAAGGCTGGTTTAAGATTAGGTGTTTAGGTTTCAGGGCTTAGAAGCAACATTTCAGGGCTTGGGGTGGAGCAGGGCTTCGGGGGTTTAGGATCGATGGCTTTTTTTAGGCTTGATAAGAGTTTAGGGTTTAGGGTTCAGGTTTAGGGCACATGCAGGAAGGTTGAAACTTGCCGACAAAGAGTGCAAGAAGCATCTTTGCACCCAACAGCTCCTGGAAACCCTAAACCATCCTAAACCCTAAACCCTGACTCGACCCAAAACCTCAACCCCCCGAAGCCTAGTTTAGCGGATTTTAGGGGTGTAGGGTTTAGGGCTAAGGGTTTCGGGGTGGGTTTGGGGATTTGGATTTAAAAAGTATGCGCTAGGATGCGATCCGATCCGCTTCAAAACGGAGGAAGCTGCACAAGAGCAAGAGCTGCGTGGGCGTGTCTTGCCGGATGCAGGACATGGGGAATAATTACCTATACTATTTTGCGGGTTCCTTAACATAAGTATAGTATAATGGGCCCCCAAACCCTGTTCTGATTATTAAGGC